TTAAAAAAATCCGAAACTAGTTTCGGATTAGAGCTTTCCGAAACTAGTTTCGGGTAGGTTTCGTTTCGATTGCCAACACTAGTCTAAATGTGCTGTATTATACTCATTCAGTTAAAACCGCATTTGGAAGATGCTAATAACATCTTGAATAGTCGGTCTATCTTATCTAATTCTAATCAGTTTTATTCGGTCCAAAATTAAAAAGGATTTTCGAAGAATTAACATAATTACAACTTAGATTTTCAACCCCTTTTTGTTTTAAAAATAAGGAAAAATATGCAATTGTCTTAATTTTAAAATCATTGTACGTATTTATTTATTATGATAATAATCTATCAAGGCTGACCAATATAATATTACTAACGACTAGCAAATTTATTGACCAGACAAATATATATTTGACCAAAAGACCATATAACAAACAACTAGCAAATTTATTAACAAACAACTAGCAAATTTATTAACAAACAACTAGCAAATTTATTAACAAACAACTAGCAAATTTATGGACAAACAACTAGCAAATTTATGGACCAACAACTAGCAAATTTATGGACCAACAACTAGCAAATTTATTAACCGATGCACCACAATACAATATAATAATTTAAAATATAAGCAAATCTGTCGCTCCGTCGCTATGAAAAATATTTGTTTTTTGATAAATTTATTATTGATAATTTTAACATTGAAAAATCAATTAAAGATGATTTATGCTAAGGAACCTTTGGCAGAATTATGGGATGTAGATGATACTGAACTATCCAGACTATTAAGCATTGAGAAGAATTTATGTGATACGGTAGATAAAATTATAAAGCCGTTACTGGATGACGAAAGCTTTGGCGGAACTTTTGTGAGCACAACACAAAACAAATTAATAATCTATACAATAGAATCCTCTAAGATTGAGCCTTTAAAATTATTACCTGATGTAAAGCCATATGTAGATCTTTTGTTATTTAAAGAGGTTGCTAATCCCATAGCTAATTTAAAAGCAAAATTTAATCAAATATTAGAAGCAGCTACAGCTACAAGAAGTTTGGCAAAAGACGCATATATCTATGAGGATATAACACAAAACAATATCGTTATTATGATACCTATCAGTAGTAAGAGTAAAAATAAAGATTTTTTAAGAGCAGTTAAATCATTAAATCCGCTTATAATTTTTATGAATGACTCTAATCAACAAGCTCTAATGTCTCAAAAAAGAGATACATTTATAAATTCTAGAATGTTACTTGGAGAAGGAATACATAATATAGATAATGAATTTTGTACAGCAAGTTTTTTTGCAAAAAATAAAGATCAAACATACTTGATAATTCCAGATCATTGCAGCACTTCAGTTGGCGAGGAATTTTTTTATGACGGAAAGAAAATTGGGAACGTAATTTTTGAAATTTCTGAACCATTTGAATATGCCTTAATCAATGTAACAAATGGTGATATCAAACCAACAGCAATTATAGTGAATACAAAATCAAAGATATATAACGAATTATTTATCAAAGATGCTATAGTTCCATCTTGTAATGGCGTCCATTTATGCAAATCTGGCTATAGCACACATGTTACTTGTGGGCGCGTAATATCATTAGATGTGCATCATGTGTGGCACGGGGATATAGCCCGTTTTTTAATGACAAATATTTTCTCTATTGAAGGTGACAGTGGTGCTCCAGTGTTTTCTTATTTACCGGATTTACGCACAGTAAGTCTGAGTGGTATACTTGATGGAGGAGGTTACCAAGGGACTTTTTTTACATCCGTAAAAGGTATTCTTGAACATAGTAATTTAGAGCTTATAACGCATATTGGCAATTAGCATTCTATAGAATTTTCTCAACAAATTATGAAATGTATGGGTTATACCAACTCTTAAATGTTATGAATTAAACATCCTTAAATATTATGGTTTTAAAGTTCAGGAGGTATTTTAAATTTTGCATGTAATATTTTGCTTAGTTTCTGTTAAAACTAGAATGTTATCCTGCTTTTCCAAACCCAAACCGTTAAACACGTGTTTCTGTAATCACGTGATTTCAATTAGGAACTTTTAAACTCAGTACTGCACATAGTGCTCAAATCGGGAACGAAATCGATTTCTTAAACAATTAGGATAACTGCGCGACGTAGTTGCGCTAAAACCAGGAACGTAATACGTACAATTAGATTTAACACTACAATTCGTATACTGCTTTTTAAAAATATATAA